TATTAAAATTGTAATTATTTAATTATTTGTTTTATTAATTCCATTTTCATGAAATGTGTCTATGACTTTGTATCATAACATTTAAATTTTTTATATTTTGCTTTAAAATTTTTTGTGATAATTTAACATCGATTATTTCCGATACATTTTTATCGGTATTTTTTAACGATAAATATTTTTTAATACTTTATTTCCCACAAAAATTTATAACTTACATTCTTAGTCCAATTTCGATAAGTTATCGATAAATAGTTATCGTTTTTAACAGTAATTTTATCGATTTTTCGGTTTTTATGCATTTACTTCTTTAATAACGCTTCATTAATTAATTGCGTTCTTTGGAAACTGTTTTATGTCTGAAATATATCCATATGTACATAAGTACCTATGTATTTAATTTATGTATATTATTCTAAAAAAAAAAACATTTAGTCAGCTTCTGCTTGATAAAAAAATATGTTAAATATTTTACATTCATTTCACATCGATAATTTTCGATTACTCTTTTCTATCGATAATTTCTATTTAGTATTTAGCAAAACAAACTTTTGACTGTTTTGCTTTTAATTATTATTGCTTTGCCTTACCTCAACGTATTTATTTTATTAATTATATTTTAATGTAATTTATTTAAACTATTTTGGCAGCATTTTTGATAAATTTAATTAATTTTTTGTACATGTAACTTTATCAAAAAATATTTATCTGCTCCTACCTAATTATTTTTATGTTAATTTAAAATCGATTATTTTCGATATATTTTTTATCGATTATCTTTATTTGGCTTATGTCAAAAACCATTTGTGTTATAGTGCTTTCAACTACTATTGTTGTTGTAATTATTTTATGACTATCCTGAATGCAGAATTTATCGATATATATAATTTATTTATTTACATTAAAAAAATAGTTTTTCTGCTCCTACTTAAATTTAATAGTATTATATATTTCATATTTTGGTAATTTAAAATCGATTATTTTCGATAACTTTTTGATAAATAATCACTATTCCGTAAATGGCAAGGAAAGCATTTGGCTGCCTTACTTTCAAAAAATCGATAATTTATCGATAACACTTATTTAAATATTTTTCTTTTAGAACTATTTTGAATCCAAATTTATCCAAAAACTTAATTTATTCTGTTATTTAATATCAAAAAAAAACAATATTTTTTCAGCTTTCCTTACTGCGAATTCATTTTCGATCTGCGTTTATCGCGTCATTTCACCTCATTCCCCGATTGCTATGAAATACGCTGCAATGAGACCTTCAGCTTCATCGGACCCTGAGACTAAACAAGATTTAATTATTAAGTAAATTTAAAACATATTATTATAAAGTATTTTAAACTACTTTTAATTGTAAATACTTTTTTGAATATTTAACCAAATAATCGTAAATAAATCGTTTGAAAATTTGTTGCCAATATTTCAATGAACTTTATACGTAAGTATGTAGCTCAGTAAAAACAACGCGCAGCAACTTAAACGCACACTATCGCAATTATCCTCGACATGTTTTTGTTGTATTTGTGATTCGCTTGCTCCAAGGTGACTTGAAAAGTTTTTAACTTTAAAGTTGCAGACAAACAAAAGCATTAAAACGACAATTAAACGTCTCAGACCTGTCTGCCACAGTGATAAGCTGGCGCAGAGCGGCAACAACAATTGCGCGGAAAACACCTTCGACACACACACACACGCTCCCATATACCCGTTTGATTTTGGCTGTCTGTCGTGCAACATCAAAAAGTATGCAACAACAACTCATATCCGACTATGGAATTCGTGAAGCGAATAACAAACTTTTGGCATAAGTAGGTCTGCAACTTCCGGCTGCAATAAAAGTAGCAGAAACCATAACAACAACTACAACAGCAACTGCAACGATAATGGAAGTAACAATTGTATAAAATCAGCATCAAGTTTTGATGTTGCCAACTTTCACTATCAGCGCGCGAGGTACATGCACACGCTGTTATGTTTCAGTGCAGTTATAAAATGGTGTGAGTTATGGCATGCCATTTAAATTATGAATGGAATTTAAATTTCATGAGAAGAAAAAGGATGCGGTAATGAAATTTTTGATAAACTAATTGTTAGATTACTGACAAGTTTCTAAGAAAATAGAAAGTGATGAGCTTGAAGAAAGGATGGAAAAATTAAGAGTCCACTGAACTTTTTTTCTTCCATTTGCTTATAAAAATAAATAAGTTCATGTTAAATGTAAAACTTTTCTGATTTCTCGGCGAAAAACTGCGAAAAGTAATTTCCACATTTTTCTCTTGAACCCAAAATTACTTCATTAAGGGAGTTCGGCATTGACCAAAACAAATCGTAGTCCGATGGTGCAAGGTCAGGGCTGGTGCATGCATCAAAACAGCCAACAGCCAAGCTCTCCCAGTTTTTGGCGAGTCATCAAATATGTGTGGGTTCTAGCGTTGTCCTGATGGAAGACGAGGCCCCTTCTGTTGATCAGTTCTGGCCGTTTTTTCCGATTGCTTGCTTCAATCTCATCAGTTGCAGTTGACTCTATCCTTCAACCAGGCTGGGGCAGCCCATAGTTGATGATTTCTTTTTAATCCCACCAAACACTCACATAACCTTTCCAGGCGTCAATCTTGGTTTTGCGACCATTTGATCGCCTTCACTACGCTTGGACAATGATCTTTTTCGCACATTACGAGTATTGTTGTATTTGATCTACGTTTCGTCTCATGTCACCATTCTCTTCAGAAATAGTTCGATTTCGTAGCTGATGAAAGCCGCTGCCAAAAAAAACATTAAATTACTTTTTTTCTATTTAATGAATCTGATCATTTTTTTTTTTTTGTTTTTTTTTTTTTTTTTGTTTGCGGATTAACTTTTACATTTAACAAAAATGGATAACTGGAACACTGAAGCAAGAATTTGGATTGTCCGCTGCTATCACGCACTGGAGTCCGTAGTTTCGGTTCAAAGAGAGTATAGGCGCACGTTTGGCGGCAATCCTCCGAGCAGATGGACTATAATAGTACTTGTAAACAATTTTGCCGAGCATGGGACAGTCAACAGAAGACCTTACCATCGAAACCCTTCAGTTCGAACTGAGGAAACAATCGCTGCTGTGGCTGCTGCCATACAAAGCAATTCACGTGTTTCGACAAGAAGCTTATCTGCTCAAATGGGTGTAAGCAGACAGTCATTACAGTCAATTATGTACAAAGATTTGGACTCATTCCCATATAAAATTCAAATGGCCAACAAACCGAACGCCTCAGATTTGCCGATTCGCTTGGAAGTTTGCCAGAAGATGCTTCAAATAATGGAAGAGGATGGAAACATGTTGAACTATTTTTTTCATGTCTGACGAGGCCCATTTCGATTTAAACGGCAACATAAACAAACAAAATTGTCGAATATGGAGTGSYTCCAATCCACAGATACTCCATGAGACGGAATTGTATCCACTTCGTGTCACAGTGTGGTGTGCAGTTTCATCACGCAGTATTGTCGGGCCCTACTTCTGGAGCTGATATCCAGAAACTCCACATTCCGTTGCCCACCCAGGTCGCCTGACCTTACTGCACCTGACTTTTTCTTGTGGCGTTATTGCAAACAGGAAGTCTACAAAACAAAACCAACAAATTTGAATGAACTTAGGCAATCCCTTCGAGAAACAATTGCTATTCCTGTCTCAACTCTCCAAGCAGCAATGAACAACTTTTTGGTAAGATGCCGCACATGCATCAACGAGCAGGGGGGGCATTTAAATTCCATTATTTTTAAAACTAATTAAGCTATATTTAATAAAATTGAATGAGCTTTAACATCAATAAAAGAAAAATGAATTCCATACATTGAAAAAAAAAAAAATATTTGAGTTTCTTAATGTAGCCAAATTCATCAGCCACCCTGTATGAAGTAGAATATATCGTTTAGCAGTTTTGAGAGTGTACTCAGTACATTGAATGATGTCCGGACAGGCAGCTCTCTTAATAAGTGGGGTATGCCAATCAACCTTCTAGTGTTTGAACGCAAAAAGTTGTGGGAGTTGAAAAGATATTGGCAACATAGAAGTAATCCGAACATAAGCGGGAAGATAAGGGTAAACACTCTAACAATATGACAAAAAATATGTAAACGAAGAAACCTAGATGAAAGCAGAAATCACACAAAGCTGTCCGGGCACGGATATTTTAAGAATGTCTTCAGAATCGAAAAAGAAGCAAACTCGATGTGTATTTACAACAACTCAAAGGATTACGATGATTTTTTAGTGTATACGCGACCTGGATTCAGGTGCAGAAAGGGAAATATTTTAATGAGAAATATGGAACGCCAGCCTGTAGTAATGGGAAATTGGTTTAGGGTGGGCTATTGTTTGTTAGTGAGGAGCTTAACAGTTGCCTTGAAAGACGCACATATTATCGCTCTGACCGTGCGGTAGAAGCTTAATGAATCCTTCTCGCAATAAGGGTCAGTTTAAGAGTTCAGTAAATAGAGTCTGTATAGAAAAACGAAATTTCCCCATTTGTTCTGTTTGAGATGCCCAACCATTATCAATTAACACCTACTCAGTACACATATTTAATATTAAATCTCTCCCTTACGATCTACTACTGTCATACATATAAATATCAGCGACTCTCTCGATAAACCAACGTCGAATAAAAACTAGCAACAAATCATTTTCCATTTACTCAATTTACAGCACGTAAGCAGTTCAAACTCGTAACTGAAGCCAGCTGGCTAGGCAGTGAGCTCGCAAGCTCAGCCAGTTGGCGTGTTCGATTGTACTTTTGTCGCCGCAGCAAAGCTAAATAATCGACAACATGAAAATTCTAAGGCGTGGTTTAATTAGTTAAAATAAAAGTTATTGGCTAAAGCTACAAGAACAACTATAACAAAATGATTGTATAATAGAAGTGGAAATGAAAAACTTACAATACCAATAGCAATGACAGTAAGAGACACAAGTGACAGAGGAAATGTGTGGCTATTTAGAAATATAATGAGTAGACAAGCGCGTCTCACACCTTTCTGCAAAAGCGAGGAAGTGTCTTCGTCAGCATAGAATAGTATACAAAAATGAGCAAGTTGAGGCTGGTAGACAACGCGCTTTTAAAAACGCAACGCAACAGCCAAGTGGCACGGAAGTGTGACAAAATGGCAGTGGAAAAAAGAAAGAGTCGAAAAAAGACAAAGGCCAAGTAGGCCGTAGGAGCCGTTGGAAGGCTTGGTGGCCTAATAGCTGCGGCTGGCAATAGTTGGGTGTGTAGTGGTGAGTGTTAATGGACATCAATAAAATGACAGACGAGGTGACAACACAGAAGTGAGCGAAATAAATACAAAAACACACATACAGCGTATAAAATATAAAATCAGAAACAAATGCGCAAGCAGCGTTGCAAGGAGTGTACTGGTTCGCGAGGAAGCGTGTTTATGGCAGCGTCGAAAGAGAATTGACAATAAAAATTAATGTTGCGGCCTAAGCGGAACACGCAATTAGTGAAATTAATTGCTTAAATGAAGAGTGCAGAACTTTTGCAGCGTCGCTGACGGTTGACAGTTAACTGTGTGTGTGTGGCAACACGTGAGTTAATGAACTGTTTGGCGCATTGAATTGTAATTAAGTGGAAAATTTTAATTTCATACAAAATTTTAAATAATAAATTGCGAAAATAAAGGAAACACATTTGTAGATTTATATAAAACAAATTGGCTTGGATTTTTTTTTTAATATTGTGTGTAATGTGTGATCCTCGCTTGATCGAGCAAGTTCGTTGCTTTAGTCTTTTGTTTGATGCAACTTTGATCAGCAAAATACTCAATTGGGGGGATTTTGATTTTTCATTTTATTCTTTTTGCTTTGAAAAGTTGCCGCTTGTCACCAAAACTAGTTGGGGTATTAAATCCATAAAAGTAAGGGGTATATTTCATGGACATAAGTTTGAAGTAATCTGTTAATGTTGGCTTAGGAATTTTATCTCAATTTAACACCTCATGAATAGTTTTGTACACAGGCTTGCCACACATTTTGTAATAATTTTGCTACTTTTATTTGAATGAACAGGTGGTAACTCCTACTGAATAGTTTTCTTAATAATAAAAGTAAACCCGAATCATTTCTAACCGTCGCTTTAGACATATTTTTGGTAATATTTCCATACTTATAATATACATACATACATAGAATTTCGACATCTGGCTACTCTATAACTAAATGTGTGTAGATTTGTTATTTTAAAAATATATTCTTACTTTCTTTTTAACTATTTTTTTTATAATTTTTTTTACAATCTGGCAACTATGTAAAAATTAAAAATTTTTATTTAGATATTATTTCTATTTTTACCACT